GGGGGGGGGGGGAGAAACATCTATGTGAGAGAGACACATTGATTGGTTGCCTCCCACACACACCCTGACTGGGGCCAGGGATGGGGCCTACAACCGAGGTACGTGCCCTTCACCGGAATCGAACCCAGAACCCTGCAGTCTACAGGCTGATGCTTTATCCACTGAGCCAAACCAGCTAGGGCTGATGGTGGTTTCTTTTTTGTTTTTTAAATATTTAAAAATTTGATTTTATAGAGAGAGGGAAAGAGAGGGAGAGAGAGAAACTTTTACGTGAGAAACAATAGATCAGCTGCCTCCTACATACTGCTTACTGGTGATGGAGCCTGAAACCAGGGCATGTGCCCTGACAGGAAATCAACCTTTTGGTGCATGGGATCACACTCACCAACTTAGCCACATTGGCTAGGGCTGATAGTGTCCTTTGATGTACAATGTTTTTTGATTTTTATGTAGTTCAACTTCTCTTTTTTTTGTTTTGTTGCCTGTGCTTTTGGTGTCATATCCAAGAAATCATTGACAAGTCTGTCTTAAAGCTTTTGACCCTCTGTTTTCCTCTAAGAATTTTATAGTTTTAACTCTTCTGTTAGGACTTTGATCTATGTACTTGATATTTTTATATTTCAGTTTTTCCTCTTTCTATTTTGGCAAGTTAATTCATTCTTGAAAGGCTTTTTTTCTTTTTGATCTATGTTAAGTAAACCTTAAAATTCAGGCTTATTTAGGTTGGTTATGAATTGTGATTATCTTTGTTTTAGTGACTTTTAATTGAACCCAAGTGTTCCAAATCTGATTCTCTTAAAATTTTTTATAAAGAAATTGACCATGAAGGGACTAGCCAATAGATTCCTGAAAGAGATTTGCAAATCATATGAATTTTTAGATTTACTTGATCATACAGTGGTAAACCTTTAGCTTGCCTACATTTAATTAGGAAAGAGATTGAATTGCAAATTTAATTATTTTTATTTTTTTTAAATAAAAAAATTTTTTTTTAAGGTCTGTAGAAGAAAGCTTTAATCTGTCAGATGAAAGCTGTGGTCCTACCCCAGGAATTGTGAGAAAAAAGAAGATTGCAATTGGGGTAATCTTTTCATTATCCAAAGATGAAGATGAAAATAACAAATTTAATGAATTCTTTTTTTCGCATTTTCCTCTCTTTGAAAGCCACATGAACAAATTAAAGAGTGCAATAGAACAGGTAAGCATGGTTATGTTATTGGCCTGTTTATATCCCTTATTTTTCTTTGAATCTTATTCTCCTGTTTAAGTATTGTGTTCATTTATATAACACAAAGATTAACCTGCAAAGTGCTCTGGGAGGTACAAAATAAACCTCAGCTCTTTAAGGAGCTTACTTCCTAATAAAAGATCTAAGGCCATTCATCCATTCATTCAATAAATAAATATTTGAGGGCCCATAATGTGGCAGGCACTATTTTAGAAACTAAAGATAAGATGTGGAAAACGTAACACTCCTGACCTCATGGGACAGCAAATAAACAAATGAGTACATAAGCTATTAAATGGGAATAAATGCTGTGGAGAAAAGTAGAACAGATTTTTAAGGTGTGATGGACAGAAGGATTTAATTTTTATAGGCTAGTGTGGAGGGCTTCTGGTGAAATGATGTGTGGTCCAGAAAAATGAAGGAAGTGAGCTACAACTATCTGAGAGGAGAATGTTACAGGCAGATGCAGAGGTCCTGTGTCAGGACTAAGCCTGATGCTTGAGCAACAGGAAGGAGGCCAAAGTGCCAGGGTTAGAAGTAAGACAAGATAATGTAGGGCCTTACAGGATTCCATTGTCAGAGCATGGCATTTACTCCATAAGGAAGATGGGAGGCCATTGGAGGTTTTTGAGTGGAGAAATGACATTATTTATGCGGATCATTCTTAATGCTGTTGGGGAATAGATTTCTAGGAGCATAGGTAGATGCTGTAGGACCATTTAGGAGGCTGTTGGCATAATCTGGGTGAGAGATAATGGATACTCAAACCAATTTAGTGGTGGAATTGGTGAGAAGTGGTTGGATTCTGGGCATATTTTGAAAATAGAGCTAATGAGATTAGCTGATGGGCTGGATTTGGGTGTAAGAACAATAGAGGTTGACTCAAGAATTTTCATTTCAGCAGTAAGAAGGATGGACTTGGCAGTACAAAAATAGGGAAACTAGAGATGGAGCAGATTTGGTAGGTGAAGATCAGGAGTTTGTTTAAGGTGCCTCCTGGACGTCCAAGTTGTTTTGATAAGTCTAGAGTTTAGAGAAAAGGTCCAGGCTGGACAATCACCAGTGTATAGATGTTATTTAAAGCCATGAAACTGATTGAGGGAGGAAGAGAGGAGCAGAGATCCTAGGCCTGATTCGTGGAGCATTTCAGCAGTTAAAATTTGAGGAGAGGAGACTGCGGGTTGGCTGTTCAAGTAGGAGGAAAAATGAGAGAGTGTTTTTTATGGGGGCTCCAAGTGAAGAAAGTGATTTAAGAAGGTACGAGTGATCAATTTCTACTGATAGTGTATATAATAACTGTACATAAAGTAAGAAAATTGAAAACACAAGATAGAACATAAGGATAACTAAAAAGGGAGAACAAGCCAAACTTTTTTTAGGAGTTCATAGGAAAGAAAAGTGACTTCCTATTGGGATACTGTTTCATTTGGACTGCATCTTAAAGGATGTGTAGGGTTTTTTAAACGTAAAACTTTGAAAATTGCATATAGCAGAATAGCAAGAGAAATTGATATCCTTGCCACCCGAAGATAATTCATTAATATTTTGCTGGAAGTCTTGTCCAGACCTTTTCTATGCATATTGTATTTTTACTAGATTAGGATTGTCCTATAGTCCCTGTTGCTTTAATTATATAACTATTTTTGTTGATTTTTAGAGAGAGAGAGCGAGAAACATTGATGTGAGAACAACACATCAATGGGCTGCCTTCTGCATACCCCCTACCAGAGATTGAGCCTACAACCTGAGCATGTGCCCTGACTAGGAATCGAATCTGCAACCCCTCGGCGCCTGGGATGACTCCCAGCCGAACCACACCAGCCAGGGCTATATGCCTATTTTTAAAAACTCATCATTATTACCATATGCATTTCTCATATCATTATAAATTGTTCTTAAATATATTTTAGTCACTTTCCTTAGTTTAAGTAAAAATTCTTTTATTAGGCCATTTCTACTTTCTCACAATTATAGCTATAGTGTAGTTAACATATTGGTGAATTTTCCAGATTATTTTTCAGAAGAAATTACCAGAAGTTGAACCAGTGAATCAGTGGGTATAACTAAAGTTCTTAACCACTGTGACAGTATACAAAAAGGAGATGGCTAGAAGAGTTAATGGGTACAGATCTCAGAGAATCTAGAATGCTTGAGAGAAGTTTTGACTTTGTTTTTAAGGCTGTCTCCAAATTATGCTTCTGGAAGATTAATTTGGCAGCATGTTTAAAAGAGACTAGAGTAAGAGGCTAGAGATGAGAAGACCAATTAGAATGGTCTAGAAAGAAGAGGATGCATTTCAGTAACTTAGTAGTGACTAAGAATCATCTTCCTCTAGAGAAGACAATGATGTTGGTTATTCACATTAAATCTGTCAAAAGATCATTAGCAGTGCTCTCTTTTTACAGAACAAATGAGTGAAGGCCATTTTCACTTTTTCAGAAGTTAGGCGCTGGTGACATCTTCTTTAGTCGCTGCTGTCTCTTTTTGTAGTTTGTTGCCAAAGTCAATACACGTAACATTTAGCTGTGACTGAACTGACATTTTTGAGTTACTGGGAGAAGTGTTTCAAGCTTTGTATAAAATATGAAATATTTAGGCACTATAGAACTCACTAAAAGTGACTTTTCAAATATTTGAATGCTTTGACCATCTGTAACCTAAAGTGTATATACTTAGAGTTGTCTGGATATTTGTTCAAATTTAACATCTCATTTTTTATTAAAGCTGAGAAATAAAGCTAAATGAATGAATACTTTTAAAAGTTCTACAGTTGTTAATTAATGGTAGACTATAATAAACACTAAACCATTCAAAAAAGTTATTTTCTAGGGCCAGTTTTCAAACTATCACCTTTTTTTTTTTTTAAATGAAAAGCTATGGATTTTGTTTCCAGACACCTTGGGTATTTTCTTTTTTTTTAAGTTTGTGCTACCTTTTCAGATCTATAATTTAATGAGACATTTTTATTGCTGGTAAATTAAGGAAGAACACTTCTCAACTCTAGCTAAAAAAAATTTACTATAAATTGGGAGCCTATCAACAGTTTGTAAAAACATAAAGTAAGTTTTACTTTTACCCTGTGAAACTTTTTGATGTACTTGAACATGGTTTCTGACCTGAAGTAGTCTGACCTTCTCTTAAATATATGTTTAAAATATTTTAAAAATTAATTTTTAATTACATAAGTAACACAGAATTACATTCTCTTTTAAAAATCTACAAAATTACAAACTTTTTTTTGTGTGCCATACATAGACTAATCCCGATCTCCTTTTTTCTACTTAAAGCAAGGCTTTTCAACCTTACCCAAATATGTTTTAAAGAAAGCAGATAATACTAATAACTTGAGATGTCTTTCAGTAGAATATTTATATTTCAGATATTAAAAAATAGATTTCCTTAGCAGAACCATTATTTGTGAAATATTAGAGGAAACCATGAGCTATTGTTACTGAGTTATCATTGAGCCTTGTTCTGTTTGAGGAAAAAAAAGTAGTTTTTTGTAACCCAGACACTGTCAACATCAGTTTCTTTGTGTGTTGACATTCTGTGGTTTGACAGTTACAATAAGAGATTTAACACTTGAAAAATTTTAATTTTGTTATAGTCATTAATGACAGTGCATAAAAGAAAGCCACTGTAAGTACGTGTATTTTCTTTATATCTTTCTAGATAAAGATCGTAGTAAAGTGTTGTGGAAATATGTGAGTTTGTCTTTCACTTTTTTTTTCATATTCTGCCCATGGTCAGTATAAGAATTAACGATTTGATTACTTTCAAGGCTATGAAAATGAGCCGGAGATCAGCTGACGCCAGTCAGAGGAGTTTGGCTTATAATCGAATAGTTGATGCCCTAAATGAATTCAGGTACATATTCTCCACCTTTTCATAATATAAAGTTGTTTTGCAGTGTACACAAAAAGATTTATTTGTATTCTTTCACTTATTTCTGACAACATTTAATTCTTTAAATTTCTCTGTCCCATAGTCAAATAAGGGTGTAATTCAGTAGGCTATTAGCTCCTATGTTGTTAAGTATTAAATGTGCTTGGGATTCAGGCACATTAGGGAGCCATTAGTAGTTTGATTTTTAATATTGGACTATTAGACAAGCAAAGATCCCTACCAGAAGAGATCCCTATTACAGCAGAAAGGTGCTTTGTCCTCTCTTGGCTGTTAGATGTAGGGACTAGTTGGTGTGATTTAACCGGTGATAGTAATCAGACATTCTTAGATACATGGAATACAGGGACACATGGCTATAGCGAATATGAACTTGATGTTGCAAATAACTGTTGCTTGATCTTTTCTCTAGATATGGCAAAGCAAATAGTTTTTCTTCTGCCAGTATTTTCTTACACAACAAAGTTTGTGCCGAAAGCTGCAACAACTGCTGTTAACTGTGTTCTCGTTATGGCACGCAAACATATTGCATACGAACTTACATTGGGAGTCACAAAATGACGGATGTGTCTCCCTCTGAGAGAATCATTTCAGGTCTACTTCATCCTCTCATTCTCTCAGTCTTTCCTCCTCTAGACTGGAGAGAGAGTATAGATTTTTTGCTTATTTGCCTAAAAGAATCCTGCAATATTATTTCTGAGTTTTAAATTTTCCAGTATTACAAGATAATGAATCTTTTCTCTTGAATTTGGAGCTATTACTTACATTATTGGATTACAGTGTTTCTTTTCTGCAGTCACAAGCTTTGTGGCAGAAGCCCAAGAGTCCCTGGTTGAGCTCTGAGGAAACACTATCATTATAAATCCAGCTGAGATTACCAGAATAGTAAATATTGTCATAAGATTCATTCCTAGTAGAATACTGATCTTACTCTTGGTTATAAACAGTATTTTTATTTAAAACAATTGAGTTAAATACTTGCAAGTTGCTTTGGTAATAAGGTAATAGGAATGGCCTAGCCTTAGAATTTTAAGATTGCCTAGAAATTACAACATGTGTATGAGTTATAAAATCATTGAAAATGTTTATCATGGTTGTGTGTCTTTCCTTTTGTATTAGTGTGATTATTTCATTTCATTTACTGTGGAAATCTGAAAGGCTATTTAAGTCAGTTAAGCATTCTTATAATATCTTAAAAATACTTTATAAACTCATGATTTTTTAAAGAAGGCTATCTGTAGAAGCACTTTAATATGTACAGTTGCTACTCATTATTTACAGATTCTGTATGTGTGAATTCACGTACTTGCTAGGATTTATAACCCCAAAATGTACTAACAGTACTTGTACGATCATTTGTGGACATGCACAAAGCAGTGAAAAACTTGAGTGGCCTTACACACCCATTCCCAGAGGAGGTGGAACAGGACAATGCTCTGCCTTCTTATTTCAGCTTTCATTCTTTAAACAAGTGTCCTTTTAGACGTCTGTGTAGTGCCATGCTTTTTTTTAGTGATTTTGCTATTAAAAATGGCCCTCAAGCATAGTGCTGAAATGCTGACCAATGTTCCTAAGTGCAAGAAGGCTGTGATGTGCCTTACAGAGAAAAACATATGTGTTAGGTAATCTTCATTCAGGCATGAGTCATTGTGCTGTTGGCTGTGAATTCAATGTTAATGAACCAACAGTATATTAAATCTTAAACAGTTTATATATAGAAACCCACATAGAACAAGATTATGCATTGATGGGTTGGCATAAGTGTTGTGACCAGAGGTTCTCAGGAGCCTAAACCTTGTATTTCTCCTAGGAACAGTGACTCAGTGTTCACTAATTCAGTGTTCACATTGTTACTGATGTGGCTGTAGAACATTACTGCAAATAATGACACTATCATACTTAATTTAATGTTATTTTTTTTTTATTTTTATTTTTTAAAATATATCTTTATTGATTTCAGAGAGAGGGAGAGAGAGAGCTAGAAACATCAATGATGAGAGAGTCATTGATTGGCTGCAGCCCACAACCGGGGCATGTGCCCTGACCGGGAATTCAACCCTGATCTCCTGGATCCTAGGTCGACGCTTAACCGCTGAGCCACTTAGTTTTAATTTTAAAACTAAGTACTGCCTGGCCGGGCGTGGCTCAGCGGTTGAGCATTGACATATGATCCAGGAGATCGTGGTTCGATTCCTGGTCAAGGCACATGCCCAGGTTGCAGGCTCGATTCCCAGTACGGAATCCCTCTTCCTCTCCCCCTCCCTCTCCTTCTCCCCCTCCCTCTCTCCCTTCCTCTCTGAAATCAATAGAGATATAGTAAAAAAAATAAATAAAAAATAAAACTAAGTGGTTATTAAAAATTAGTGATTAGAGTTTTTAGCTAGGTGATTATTTGAGACCAGAAAATTAATGAATTTTGGGTAGTTGAGAAGAGGAAGGAAATGATTCACATGTATAGGGAAGTTCTGAAACCTAGAGAAGCAGGAAGTGTGTTTTAGTTAGAATAGCTTCTTCCCAAAAATGAGGTCCTTGGAATTTTACCTAGACTTAATGCATAACAAAGAAAACTAAATCATGTCCACAGTTTCCTTACAACTAAAGGAGTATTTCATTCTCTAAGGACAGACCAGCAAAAATAAAGAGTCAGATGACTGGAAATACTTGCCCTTCTTACCATTCAAGGTTAGGACATAGTCATTAATGGGGAAGAAAGCACCACTACTTCTAGATCATTGATGACAGGATTGAGTTGTTGTATATAGTGAGAAGCACTACTCATAACTAATTTCTTTGCCTTCTTTGCACTTTGAGGTTATAGTACATATCCTTAAACACCAAAACACTAAGGCTAATGTTCTCATAGACCCTATACTAATGTTAGTGATCTGGCCCTGGCCCATGACACACAGATTTGTAGTAGACACTAATATCCTAGAGAAATTCATGGCATATGAATTGATCAGTTCATTCATTCATTTATGCAGTGTTTCTTTTAATCAAAAAGTATATTCACATGGTTAAGAAACAAAAAAAATACATGCTGAAAGGTCTAATAATGAAAAATAAGTGAACCCTATCCAACCTCCCCTATTCCCTTAACTATTTTTGTTACCTCCATATTATTAAACAGTATACTTAATGCAGCTATATCTTGATTTATCCATTTTGGAGCATATGTAGTTTCTGCATGAGTTTATACCTCCCCTCAGTCTTGTAGCCACTTGGTTTAGTTATAGTACTATCTTTTTAGCTCTGGTAAATATTCTACATTCTTTGATTATTTTGCTCAGTTTCCTCTTTTGAATTCTTTTTTGTTAGAAACTCTGATATTCCTTGGTTGATCTTCTATGTCTCTTTTTCTTTTCTTTTTCTGAATGTATTATTTTATGTTTCCTCTGGAATCATTTTGTGTGTGAGTGCTTTCTGTTTGTCTTTCTGTTTGTGTCCCTCTCCCCTTGGAGGCTTTCCCTATATAGCAGTATTTTGGTTGCCCATTCATAGTTGAGAGTGAAGCACCAAAATGTAGGTTTGGGAGTTCTGTGTGTAAGTCAGGCATAGATTGGATAACTTTGCTTTAGGGCAGTATTGCTCACTTTTTATTTACAGTGCCTGAAGGAGCATATTTAGACATTCTCCCCCTAATCATTTCCCCGCTAATGAAATTTTAACACTACAAGATTTGCTGTATATCTGTTTATGTACTGTGAAATATTCACATCAGGAAGGGTTTCGGGGTCATCAGTTCTCTGGGCTGGGCAATTGCTACATCTCCTGTCCTATCTGTAGTCGTTCTGTGGGGAAAATGGGGTGGAGTTAGGGGTCACCAGCCATTTATGGACCTTAAATTAGTCTCCCAGTTTACAGTTGTATATAACTCCTGTCCTCTACTTTACCCGGCATTTGTGAGTCCTGAGCATCTTTTTTTTTCCGGTGGGGCAAATCAGTTTCTCTTTTTACATGCCCATCTGTATGAACCCTATAATCTATATATTCCTCTACCGTTCTACTTCAGTCAACATTCTTCATGTTTTATCCTCTAGAATTTTATTAAATCTATAATTTTTTTTATAATCATCACCCGAGGATATGTTTGTTGATTTTTAGAGAGAGAGAGAGAGAGAGAGAGAGAGGGAACAACATTGATTGGTTGCATCCATACACACCCTGACCCAGATTGAACCCCCAACCTAGGTATGTGCCCTGACCGGGAATTGAATCTGCAACCTTTTTGGTGTATGGGATGATGTTCCAACCAACTGAGCCACTGGTCAGGGCTAAATCTATGATTTTAATTTTCACTAAGGTTTCTCTCCAATTCTATTTGTTGTAGTGATTTATTTGTTTTCAAATCCTTAAGTTGTGTTCATGTGGGTGTCAGAACTGAAAGAGGCTAAACATTTGTGGTCAGTTGTCTATCCTATCTGAACATGCTTAATTGGCTTTAAAAATAAGCTTTTTCACAGGTCCCTAGTTTATATATTCTAGTCATATTTTTCTCTGTAAAATACCCTTAATTCTTTTCCCTCCCTCCCCCCTCCCTTTCTTTCCTTTCTTTCCTTTCTTTCATCATCTATTATCTATCTGTCTATCTGTCTGTCTGTCTATCTATCATCTATCTATCTATCTATCTATCTGTCATCTATCTATCTATCATGATTTAGTTCTCAGCAATGATTTTATGTCCTATTGTCACTTCTAACCATTGTAATATATAGTGTTCATATTGGGTCAAAATTCAGTGAAAGTTGTTCAGGTATGAGAATTCTTTTCCTTTCGGGATTCTAAGTGCTAGAGAATTATGCTGAGGTGGGCCCTAGCACTTGTGGAGTTATCAGAGAACTAGGGACCAGTTAGTTTCTTAAGCCCCAACTTTGTAGGAATTGCTTGGTCTGGTGAGAGTATAGGACTTCATTGAATAGATACTAGTGTAAAAGGAAAAGAATTGACATTTTAAAGGTATCCTTGAAGCCTTCAGGAGAGAGTGCAAGTCACAAGACTAGCTGTTGCTTAAATAAATGAAATAGACAGCCAGAAGAGCACTATCATAATTGTTTAATAATCCTTTCTTGTATTGATTCGAGGAAAGCTTTCAGAGGTTGAGTGTCAAAGTATAGCATGCCATCTGTAGTGTCCTCATCATTCTTCAGAATTTTACTAAAAAGTCGTAGCATGGGAAACAATGATGCTGGTAAACTGTTGTTTTAAGTGTGTATATGGATAAGTTATCACCCCATTTTCAATATTTTTCTTTTCTATGTTTTTTTGTTATTTGCATTATATTTAAATACCAGCATATGCCTTGGAAACATAGAACTGGAAGGGGCTTTAGAAATTATCTAGTCCTATCCTTTTATTTTACAGGTGGAGGAAACTGATGCTTAAAGTAGGGAAATTATTATTCCAAGGCCACACAGTCATGGGGGGCAGAACCAGTGCGAGAACCAACATATTATCAGCTTATATATAGAACATTTTTCATGGTACTGTGCTGATGACAAAAAAGAAACAACTTAATTCATTGCCTACTCTTAAAAGCTTTAATAATCTAGGTGTTAGGTCCAAGATAGCAAGATAACTTTATTTTAAAGTATATAATTCTGCAAACTATGAATTTCACAATGTATTTTCTTCTTTTTAGGACAACAATTTGTAATCTTTACACAATGCCACGAATTGGAGAGCCTGTCTGGCTTACAATGATGTCGGGGATTCCAGAAAAGAACCAGCTTTGCCATCGATTTATGAAGGAGTTCACTTTTCTAATGGAAAATGCTTCAAAAAATCAGTATGTCTTTATATGAGCTATCTTAAATATCTTAGCTATTATTTACTATAACTAGATATCAAATTGTAATCAAACTCAGTTACAAAAGTAAAAGAATTAACGATTATCTTTGTAATTATTTGATATTATTAAAAAAGAATTATAAAAGATAATTATAGGGTGTGGAAGAAGGCCACAGAACTTTATGAACAAGAAATAGTAAAAATGTCTGTGTGAAATGAAAATTCTGACATTTTACAGAACTCTCTGAGGTTTCTCATTTTTCCTGCTGTTTGGCCACATGAGAATATGTACTCTCTTTGCTTTATTCTGTCACTGTATTTTACCTGAGGTTTCTTGAAGGCAGATTGGAATCTGATAGGATGCATTTTTGTTTTCAGATTCTTGCCAGCACTCATTACTGCAGTTCTGACCAATCATCTTGCCTGGGTTCCAACAGTCATGCCAAATGGACAACCACCTATAAAAATATTTTTAGAAAAACATTCCTCTCAGAGTGTGGATATGTTGGCAAAGACTCATCCGTATAACCCACTTTGGGCACAGCTGGGTATGTAGTCTGATATGCATTATACTTAGACTTTTGCATTATACGTAGACTTTTGTGTAACTGTCTGGAGTTATTTTATAGAAAAAAAAAAAAAAAGTAAATGCTCTTTTTTACCTCCTCCATTCTAAAGCCCCTGCTCATTACTTGTCCTTTCATGTCTGCTGAACTGCCTTACCCTCCCTTCCCCATCTCATGCCTGATACTCCTCATAGATAGAGAGCTGCAGCTAGAGCAGGGGAAGCAGGATGATAGTTCGCTCACTAGTGTCTTCTGGGGAGTTTGTGTTAGGTTGTCTGCCTAGAAAGAATGAATCAACAAAGTCACCTGTGATAGCTATAGTAAATCTGGTTAACTGAAAAGTGGTCACTGAGGTTTGTGTTTTTCACTTTCGTTTGTTGAGCAGTTTTGGAAAATATTTTCCTTTCTGCTAGGCCTCAGTGAATAAATAGTTAACAGAGGAGAGAAGGGATAGTTGATGAATAGACAGTCATTAGGAAGGCAGTTTAGCATGGTGCTTAAAAGCACAGGCTGTAGAATCAGATAGACCACATTTTAATCACAGTTCCTTTATTTGCAAAGTGGGGATAATAATAGGTAGTACATACTTCATAAAGTTGTGAAAATTAAATGAGAAAATACATGTAAAGTGCTTAGGACAGTGTCTGGTAAATGTAGCTGCTATTAGTTATACCTTACTGTACTGCTGTTAGATAATGTGGGAGGAATATGATGAGAACATCTTGGTGACCTGGTAGAAACTTCCCTTAGGTTGTGCTGGTGAGCTTGCCAGGCACATTGTCATGTGGCTTATTAATTCATGTAACCATCCCTCCCTCC